TAGCCAGGACCCAAGCCGTTTAGGGCTTTATAGGTCATAACCAACACCTTGAATTGGGCCCGGGGTTCAATGGGAAGCCAGTGAAGCTGACGGAGGACTGGAGTCATGTGAGCATAACGCCCCGTCCCCGTCAGCAACCTGGCAGCTCTATTTTGCACCAATTGAAGTGTTTGGACCATCTTCAGGGGAAGCCCCACGTAAAGCGCGTTACAGAAGTCTAGGCGGGAAGTCACCAGCGCGTGTGTCACTGTCGCCAGGAGTCGTACTCCAGGTAGGGGCGCAGCTGATTAATCAGCCGAAGCTGAAGGAAGGCGCTCCTCGCCACCGCTGTCACCTGAGCTTCCAATGAAAGCTCCGGGTCGAGGAGTAATTCATCATTGTTGGTTGACCATGTCTCTGTATGCTATAGAATCATTGTTCTTCCACAAGTGTTTTCCATGGTATGCTTCTATTAGGACATCAAAGGAGCAAATGACCCACTTTCTTCAGATATTACAAAGAAATCCCAATGTGTTTTTAAAGACACATACACACCATAGGCAATCGCAAGTGAGGCTGCAGTGAATTAAACCACAAAACCCCAAACTTAACCCAACCAGTTTCAGTTATGTTGGTTTTGGCTTCTGTCAAATCGAGGAGGTAACAAGCTTGTTTTTCTTTCTCCTGAAGCTTTCTTTTCCCTTTTTTAGCCGTACACTTTAGGTCAAAGATGTTGAACCTTTTTCAAGTCAAAGGCTGGGTATATTTAGGTTTAGAGAAATTCTCCTTGGTGGTGGGCAGGGTCATAACACTAAAAATAACAGCATATTTTGATGGAAAGCTATTACTCCCAAGAGAGGTATGTTAACCAGGTAGACTCTGGAAACATGCAAAACAAGGAGAACATCAAATAATTGGGGTAAAGAGCATGGCCACCTGAGAACCATCACAGGGGCGGATTTGGATCCAAGGTACACCACAGATGGTCAAGAGGTCCTTTACTGAAAGAAAGTAGGTGTAACCTTGGAAGCTGATTGGATGGAAGAACAAGAGGTTATGTCATTCCAAGTTCTTTAGAGGAACAGCCGAGGTTAAACGGAGCAGATATGTACAAACAAGTGCTGCCCAGAGAGAGTTTTGAGTACCTCTCATTTAACTGAAGATTGTTGCTTGTGTATGTTGTCTTGCAGAATCATATTTGCCTATCAAGTGTCCTGAAGGATGGATATCATATGCAGGTCACTGTTATAGCATTTTCAGAGAAACTGTCTTGTGGAATGATGCTTTAATGTTCTGCCGAAAAGAAGGTGGAGATCTGGCGAGTGTCCACAATGTTGAAGAATACAGCTTTATAATTTCTCAGCTTGGGTACAGTGAGTATTTGTATGTTAGCACTGTTAACCTTGAATTCTAAAAATTAGTGTTGCTTTTTTTCACCAGTAGCACTGTTAGCATATTAAAATGGCATCTACTTGGTCAAATCTCATACATCCCACCAATAATTGACAAATAGGGTGGTGTTTTCAAGAATTTTGACAACAATGTCAGCATTTTTCAGACTTGAAGAACTTCTTTCAAGTGTGTTTTCTCAGTCTTTAAGAGTTAGGGTAATGAATTTGTATTAATATATGTGGGAAATGTGGTACTTATGAAAAGAGCTGGGCCACTAGAGGGAGGGCTGCAGCAAGCTCGTGAAATGTGGGGTTGGGCCAGTCTAAAGAAGCAGCAGCAGCAGCAGTGACAAGACTGGAATGGGATCTGTTGGCCATGTTGGCAAGACTGTGTTTGTGCTATGATTCTGGGTGCTCCCAGATGAAGCTTTTATTGTGGACATTGTAGGTGGAACATAAGACACTGTCTTATACTGAGTCGGAAATTGGATCCAAGTCGTGCAGTATCATTGAGAAACACTGGCAGTAGTCCTGAAGGGCTTCCAACAGAAGCTTTGCAACCCAACCTGGAGGTGTCAGAAGCGGAGCCTAAATGCTTACATTCAAAGCAGCTCCTCAGTCATGGTGCTGTGGTTTTTCTGTGCAATCCCATTGCCTCATTCACAGAATTTTTACCAAGATTAGGGAAGGTCTTGAAGATGTTGCCTTCAACTTGTGGTCCTCCCACAGGGACAAGGCTGGGGAAACAAACAGGAAAGCCCTGTGGCAGTTTCAGGGATGCAGGATCAGGAGTGAAGGACCAAAACAGTTCATACTTGTTTATTCAGTTGGTGAATTGCTATCTAGTTGAAGCTCACAGGTCACAGAATCAAAGTGAATGCCATAAAACCACCTTAAAGGAATGGTGTTAACGGTTTACTTTATGGTATACTTTCAAATAATTTTAAGAAGAAGAGCTAAGAACCCATGGGACTAAAACATGGAAAAAGACTATTTAACAAGCAATTTCTCTGTCATGAGGTAAAGACTACAATGACCTGAATAATGCTGGAAGCCAAAGCGTGTTCCACATTCTGCATGGACTCTGAATTAGTCAGAGGAAGTCCCGTGTGCACATTTTGGCAGGCACATCTCATTCTGAGTGTTCTGGGTCAGAAGAAAGGAAACACCTGCTGTATTTTGGCAGGGGCTCTGTAATGCAACATTAGTGACAGATACTCTTATAGGTGAGCACAACGAACTCGAAGAGGACACATAGGGTGCAGTCCTGCGGGGCTGCCCACCACTCTCTGAACTCGGAGGCTTACAGGCATCCTACGCAAGGTGGCCCCTGCACATCTTTTCCTCCACAAAGCAATTAAATAGCTGCTTTTGGCCGTCTGACTGCAGCACTTCACAGCTGGAGAGGAGAGGGAGGCGTTGGCAGGATCTGTCTGATTTCCTTCCCCTCCCTGCACAGAACACCTCTGCAAGCCCGTTTCCAAGTCTGCCCTTACAGTCTTGGAGAAGTAGCCCATGTGGGTCCTTCTGTGCAGGGCGTGGGAGAGGGCGGTCTGCGCACCAGTTTTCTGACCTGATTGCTAGAGATCCAGACACTCCCGGGGCTGTCAAGGCACGACTTGGTGGCCAGAGGGTTGCTTTAGTATACAGTTAACAGGCAACTGCTTCCCTGGCTCTCGCTGCCTATCAGTTCTTGCTATCAAATATTTCTGCATAAAGCTTTCTTAAAATAATAATAAAAAACAATAATACTATTTCAGTGCTATGCACAGGCGGAAAGGTGGTATCTGGGACAGCGCTGAGGCAGTGCTCAAGTGTGGATGCTTCCTGTAGGCTCACTGCAGCCCCATTTGCAGCTGTTTGTGAGTGCGCACACAGGGAAAGTGAGGCGTCGTTAAGGGGACTGCAGATCTATTCATGCCCCCCATATCCCCAGCTAGCCCTCTCCTGCCACCCAGTCTTAACTCCTCATGTACTGGATGGTGATCTCCCATTCCCCATAAGGGGGCTCTTTGCTTCCTCTGCACCTGTTGTGTGTAACCAAGTCAGGGGAAAGAGGGCTCTGTGGAGGCTGTGAGAGTCATACATGTGATGCACGGGGACCATGAAGACGAACTGGACTATCTGGCAGCTCTGCTGGAATAATGCAAGGGCCAGCACCTTGAATACAGGGGCCAGATGTCTTAGAGCACAGCTCTCATTATCAGTCACCACCGCTTGCCTTGGCTAAGGCTGATGAGAGCTATAGGCTGGGACATCTGGAGGGCCACATGTGAATAGTGCATCAAAATAATTCATCATGCCTTTTCTTCCTCCTTTTGCTTTGACAAACTATGATAAGTAATACTTGGCCCAGACCATTTTAAGTGTTCAAAGCAGTCCACATATCACTGGAAGTTGTACTGGGGCTAATAGCAAAGTGATTCACTTTATGGAATAATTTTGTATACAAAACATACTTTTCTCCCCTCTGCTCCCCAATGTTTATGTGTGAATTAGGACCAACAGATGAATTGTGGATTGGACTCAATGACCTCAAAATCCAACTGTTCTTTGAATGGTCAGATGGGACCCCTGTGACATACACCAAATGGCTACGTGGGGAGCCAACACATACGACCTACAGACAAGAAGACTGCGTTGTTATGAAAGGAAAGGTAAAATGGCTGTGAACCTCTCATCTCATGATCCCAGCAGTTTTCTTCAAGTATTCCACTCATTTTATGCATTACTTCTGCCCAGTTTCTAGTATTAAGAGTGTTTCCTTTAAGCTTTATAATGGTCGTCAAAAAATTCACTAAAGATCATCACGGTTGTGTTTTCTGTAGAGACTTACATGCTTTAAAATATACGGAGAGCATATTTCCGATGGCATTTGGAGAGATCTGAGTTTAGTTCCAGAAAGCTTCTATGAGAAGAAATGTTCTGCTTATATAGGGCCCTTCTGTCCAAATTCAGGAGGTTTCCCAAATATGCCACTGCTTGTCTCATTCAGCAGGGTTGCCTGGCTCTTTGACACAACAACCCATCATGGCTTGTTATCATAGTTGGGATAGTGTGTTGCAAATACAGTCCAGGTCAATGCATTTCATATGTATTAGCTGCTTTGATTATATACAAAGCCACATTGATACATTAACAGAAAAACCCTTTTGTGGGTGCCTGCAGGCACAACATTGGGCACCCTTTCATGGAGGCAGTGTTGGGTTCCCCTGCTGTAGAGCAGGTTAATGACCAGGAATCCCCCAGATTTTTTAATAAGATCTTTGGCATCTTTTCTTATGTACGATCCAGGATGGCTATTGGGCTGATCAACCATGTGATACACCACTTGGATACATTTGCAAAAGGAAACCACTGAAAGAAGCTCCAGACGTAGAGGAGAAAATTGAAGAAGGCTGTCGGAGCGTAAGTTAAACAAGTGCAGCAGCAGCACAACACCACAATAACAACAAACACATGGGAGACCCCGGTGCTTATTTTGATGGGTTCAAAATACTTGTTGCTGTCATTGGATTTCCAGTACTTCTTAAACAGTGCAGACTTAAATAGAAACTTACTGACATGGCATTCCCAGGAAGTTAACCTTTTGTTTGTATGTTCATTGCAGCTAGGTATTACAGAAACCTTGTACCTGTTAATTAAGTAACAGTGTACAGACAACGCTGTATGTTTTTCTGCATACAGCAGGGCTGTACTGCACAATGCAGTAGAAAAGTATTTGCTGCAATTTGGTGTCCCCTAGATGTGTTGAACTACAGATCCCAGAATCCATCGGCCAGCTGAGCATAGCTAGCTGGGTTACGCCTGGATATTGGTCTTATACAGATTAAAAAAAAAAACCCTACAGCTCTTAGTATACCCTGGCAGCAGTACTGGGAGTTGTAGGACCTTTTTCTGTCCAAACATTCATGGGATTGCACTGATATTCACAAAATTAAAATGGTTGTACTCACCCATACTTTTAATGTCCATCTATTGCCATTTTATTGGCTACTGCATTTAAAGTTATTAATCCGTTGAGCTTTATCTGCTAGCAGATCTATCTGCTTTTTTAGTTGTTACTTTTAATGTGCCAATGCTATTTCATTATTTATTTGTCTGTTTTCTTTCATTCTGTAAGAAATATTTGTTTGCTACCTGTGAGTTTCTGTGTTTATGGGATGGGTTAAAAGAACATTAAAGGTGTAATGCAGTGGCCTCCTGACATTGCTGGGGGGGGG